CTTCCCATCTCTCTGCGGCCCATCCCTGCCCGGTGAAGGTGAGCCCCGCTCTGTTTCCCTGAGTCAGGTAGAACTTGTCAAATACAGGGAAGGCACCGGTTTATCAACTTGCCTTTTCAAATAAACATGTCAAAAGGGCCGTGAAGGGTGAGGCCTGTGGTTAACGGGGAATACCTAAGTAGGAACTTGAGTTTCACTCAAGTGGAGCTGGAATGTGTGTAAATGTGACTAGTCCCAGAAGAGAAGGCAGAGGGAATCTTTAGAGCTTGACAAGAAAAGGTTTAAATCCTTTTGAAAAAGAATTTCAGGCTCTTAGCGTTGCATAAGATTGCTTTCCTTGAAAAAATGTCCAGCTATCCCCGAGGCTGAGGTCTAAAGGGCATTTTCCATAAGCACTAATTCAAGTGGCCTCCAATTTTGGGGTTAATTCTTGGTTAACAAAGCCAAATCCATGTGCTTCCTAGAGCATAATTATGGTCCTACATGTGGTATGTCATTTGGCATTTGGCTATTAGGACAAGTGGTTTAGCATGAATCGTATTTCCTGATTGCCACTGGAGCCGGGGGAGAAAGGAGTTGGCCACCAGCAGCCGTGCCCAGTGACAACACTGACAGTTGTGTAGAGGGAAACTATTAATTAATTCCTGGATGCTGATTTCCCCCTCCAAAACATTGCAAATAACTAACTAGAAGCCTGGACAATTTGGCGTCCTGATCTAACACTGTAAAAAATTATACTTTAAATCTTGTAGTGTTATGATTACTGTAAATATCATGTGTCAAATGCCTTTCTTTCATTAAATCCCTAAAGTGCTATTATAAATTGTCCTGATTAAACACGTTTAATGTTAGAAAAAAGATGCTTTTGCATGCCTGGATGTGATAAATTATAGCACTGTAACTATAAAAGATGACTGTTGGATATTAAAAATGGTGAGCTCTGAAAACACGATGTTACATGAGCTGATGAGAAATGCAAAATCCTCTGCTTGGGCTTGAATTTCTTGGGCTTGAGTTCCCTGTTATCTGTCCATGGATTATCCTAATTATGGACGTTCTCCCCCAGTTCCCACCATGCCACCCAGGAGTTCCTGAGGTTGCTTTTCTCATTTGCAAGGTTGTCTCCGGCTGATTGCTTTAGTTTTCTTAACTTTTTTCATCAAGCCCTTTTTATTTATTCACTCTGCCCCCATCTCAAAAAACAAAAACAAAAACAACAAACTTTTTTTTTTTGGTCCAAAAGTCTCCTGTCAAGGATAGAGGGGTAAGAAATAGACAGGGGGTCATTTAGCGGACAGGCATGAAAGGATACAGAAGAAAGCGACTGAATTCACACCTGCAGACTCTCAGAGGCTGTCTCCAAGTTCAGCGCCAGAACCAGCTGTCAGGTGTGTGCTCCTGCTTGGCTGAGGGCAGAGAACCAAGCAGACACACCTGCTGCCCCAGCTAGCCGTGGGCAGGCTGTTGCTTGGCTTTCTCTTTTAAAAGACTCAGATTGAGGACCTTGGCAAACGTGGCTACTTTTGATGCTGTTTTGGTGCTTTGGCCCATAGAAGGCATAGATCCTGATAGTGACCTTCCTTCCTGCTTTGCTGACACTACCTGGTGGGTTAACTCTCATCTTCAGGTTTCAGAGCCTGGCTGTGTCCAGGAGCTGGTCCCTCATGAGCTGCAGTTAGGAACTTAGAGGGCCTTATAACAGGATGCAGAGGTCCTCACAAGCCTCCTGACATCCCCAAGCACCTCCTGCCTTTGGACACATCTTCCGAAACCCAAGCTCCTGGAGGGTATGTTGTCATGGGGACTCACGCACAGCTGAGGGAAGTAGCGGCAATGCCGGGGAGAGGACCACATTGCTCTTTATCTCCTCCGTTCCATGTAGCTCGCTGTTCTGGTGCAATGAGCCCACGCTGCAGACAGGGCTAAAGGTGCCTGTCAGGATCCTCTTACCACCATCTGGGAAAGAATCACTGGAGCTAACACTCACAATTAGCAGTGTTATCTCATCCTTCAAAGAAGCTCTACTATTTCGATTTCATTCTTATCCTTGTTTTACTGCCATAATACTGAGGCCCAGGGACTTTAGTTAACTTGCCCATGGTCATCCAGCCAGGAAGTAGCAGAGCTGGACCCTCCTGCCATGCCCTAGACTCAGTGATGGCGAACCTTTTGAGCTCGGCATGTCAGCATTTTGAAAAACCCTAACTTAACTCTGGTGCCATGTCACATATAGAAATTTTTTGATATTTGCAACCATAGTAAAACAAAGACTTATATTTTTGATATTTGCTTTATATATTTAAATGCCATTAACAAAGAAAAATCAACCAAAAAATGAGTTCGCGTGTCACCTCTGACACGCGTGTCATAGGTTCGCCATCACTGCCCTAGAGCCAGGTCTCTGAACCAGGACACTGATGGGACATGCCCGATATGGGCAACGGCTGTTGTGGTCTGGTGATGTCCTAGGCGAGCCTGATGGAGGTTCATAAGGAAGCCTATATTGACTGATGTATTCGCTTCCGAGGGCTGCTGTAACCAAGTACCACAAACTGGGTGGCTTGAAACAACAGAAATTACTGTCTCACAGTTCTGTGGCCAGAAGATGGAGAGTAAGTGTTGGCAGGGCCCTGTTCCCTCTGAAGCCTGAAGGGGAGACTCTGCCCTTCGTCTTCCTCACTTCTGGTGGTCGCAGGCAATCCTTGGCTTGACTGTGCATCACGCTCATCTGCCTCCACAGCCACATGGTAGTCTCCCGCCTGTGTCTCTGTCCCCGTGTCTCTTCTCTTCTTCTAAGTACTCTCCAGTTGTGCTGGACGAAGGGCCCACCATGCTCCAGTGCGATCTCATCTTGACTAATTATATCCAAAAGGCTCTCTTTCCCCATAAGGTCACAATCTGAGGAACTAGGCATTAGGGCTTTCCCATAGCTTTAGGGGGAACACAATTCAACCCCTGACATTCTGCTCCAGTTCTTTTGACTTTTTTAACTTTTAAACCTGTAGCTTGAGCTGGGAAGTGAGAACCTTGTCCATTCACAGAGCTAATAAGTGGTACAACGGGTCTCCACTGCAAAGCCAGTGCTCACCCTGCTCCGCCAGGCCCTGCCAGGAACTGGTGCAAATGCCAACAGCCATCAAGGGTGAGTCTCCTGAGAAAGACACAATAATGATGCCTTGTATTTATATGCAGGGACTTAGAAATTAAAGAACACTTGTGTGCCCAAAGCAAAAAGAAAGGAGGAAAAAGGGTTGTGGCTGTAATCACTTTCAAACTGAAAGACTACCTCTTGAAAGAAATGTAGGAAGTAGTGAAACCATAGAGGTCAAAATTTTTTTTTTCCTCGGGGACTGTACTGTGCTATTTATCTGGTCAAAGGAAAATAGCTCTGCTGGTGACACCTTGCTTTTGTCAAGCAGTGAGCTTGTTCCAGAGCTAGGAGCAGGCTGCTCGCGCTGGAATAAGCCCTTCTTCTGAAGGTAGTCAGAGGGCTTTCTTCCCGTGAGGTCTTTCA